CGAATTGAATTCAACGAAGAAAAAGATAAGTGTAAGGTCGTTGAATTGTATTCAGCGGTAACAGCGTAACGAACAGAGCTCTCTCTTTTTTTTTTTTCGTAAACGAGAAGCTTTTTAGCAGTGTACTCAAACAACAGCAAAAGCAAAAAAAAATAGAAGCTCTTCATATCAACCAAAAAAAAAGTGTTTTTTTTTTCGACAATCAAAAAAACATTTAGAAATTTACAGGTTAAATATTACACGAAAAACATGAGCATACATACAAATGAAGTAGGAGGGAGAGAGAAGTTGTTTCATTAAAATTATTGAACAGATAAATTCTTGAAAAAAATTTCTTATCAATAGTTAAGTTGTTGTAAGCGGAGTTTTTTCTTTTGCGGTTTTATAATGCCTATTACAACATTAAATTATGTTTTCCAAAAAAAAATGCATAAAATTCTAAACTCTTCTGTTCTTTTTGTTTTCTTCTCCTCCATTTGTGGTTTTTCCTTTCCATTCTAGAGGTTCTGTATGGATAACATGTAATTTAGTCCACAATTCTGTCTACAAATGCTTAAATAAGTCCTGACTAAAGTTCAACAAAATGATACTGCATTAATAAGCTGCTTCAATTTTTTGTATATTGCTGTCAAAGATCTAATAAGCTTATAAATTTAAGCTGAATATTTTAATGTTAAGTGATTCTTGCGTGCTTTAGCTTAAATCGCTTTTGAGCTGTTAAGAATTGCTTTGATTTTCAGTTTTTGACAGCCACTTTTATGGTAGAACTGTTTTCGTCGGTATATTTTGCTAGATACTATAATAAGATGATGAATGGAATATCAGTAAATGTAGGAATTAGATGATTCCCATATTTTCTTAACGTTGTTGTTAGGTTGTTAAGATTAATTAATTTATTTATAATCAGTTAGCTTACAAGTCAGTTAAATGAGCGATAAAATTAGTGTAAAATTAATGTCAAGGAAAAAAATGGAACGAAAACAAATAAGAATTAGTTGTAAAAATATGAAAACATATCATATTAAAACCAAATAATTCTGAAAGCCTTTTCTTCCAATTTTTTTCTCAACTGCATTCAAGCAATTTTTTCAATAAAACAAAATTTTTTCACTGGATTTCTTGTTTACACGTGAAATATTATCAAATACAGCAACAGCCTTTCCACTTATAACATTTCAATGTATTGCATTCGTTTTTATGTTCCCCTCAATCTTTTTCTTTTTCAGTTTTTCGCTTTTCAGACGGTACTGATTGTTGATGATAATGTTTTTTAGTCTGAAACAAGTTGAGAAGAAAAACGAAACAAAAACAATAACGGCAGAACACCCCTATTAGAAAGTTTTACAATATCTAAACCATTTGTAAAAACACTTGTTTTTATAGGCAGAAACAAAGACAATCCCTCCTCTTCACAGAAAAAGACCAGAGTTCTTTGATATTTGATAAAGTTGATAAAGCAAAAAAGAAAGAAAAAAATGGAGTAGACAGAAGTAATGCATCGAAAGTTCTTTTTTTATTTTTGCGTAAATCATTAAGAGTGTTTATCTTATGTTATAGATTTAAACTAGTTGTTCATAGCATCTGTTCGCCATCAAAATTTTACGTCAAACTGCCTCTGTACAACACCTAAACTTATAACTGTACCACTGAACAAATAATATTACCCAATTTTCGGTCATTTCTGGTAACTGAAAAAAAAAAACCCTCAGATCTGCTCAAATTCTTCTTGCTATGACTGGGGTAAATGACTTCAAAACAGCATGAAAATTTAATATAAATATATAACAGTATTAATGAGCGATCAGTTCTCAATAAAAAAAATTGCAAAACTGTTTTGAAAAAAAAATTTTTTTTTTTTTTTGTTTTTACTGCGTCACAGCAGTTTTTGAAGAATTATTATACTGGAATTTTGTTTTACTTAGCAATAGGTAGCAAAATATGAAAAATGAACAGAAAAAAAAAGCAATTTTTTTTCTTTTCACCTAATTTTGATTGATTGATTGACTTTCGTTTCTGTTTTTTGTTGTTTTTGTTGTTTTCACTCATCGTGCAGCACTGAAAAAAAAAAGGAAGTTCAATTGTACAATTGAAAATTTTTGAAAAAAAATTTTTTTTTTTTTTTTTTTGGATAACAATGACAACAACAACGAAGCAAACAACACTGACGACAATAGAATAGCCAAATGAATAGTGGTATATAGTCGGTGGAATAACCAAAAAAAACATCAAAAAATAACTGTTAAAGAAGCAAAAAACAACGACAACAAAAGCAAACATCTTTGAATTATGATTATTTCTGGCAACAATTTTACTTGTTTGTCTGTTCTTTTTTTTTTTTTTTTTTTCTGACGTTGTTCAATTTTGACTGACAGATTTATTACTAAAGAAAACAGTAGCAGGAAAATGAAAGATTTGCA